TAACCTGCCGAGGCGAACAACACGCTCTAATGAGAGTAGTAGAAATTTATCCCGCTTGCGGAATATACTTGCGACGCGGTTGAACATAGATTTTCTCAATTATCATAATATCTCTCAATTCTTTTCGAAATAAAAAATTCAACTAGAAGCTTCTAAAGTATTGAAATCCTTAACCTCAGCTTTATACTAGACAATTAATAAGCATAAACAAGCAGTGGTATCAACAAAGTATATTGTGAACCTAAATCTACCCGGACATAAGTATGAATAGTAGCTACGCATGGACTCTCCTCACCTCGTGCGTACGTAGCCCCCATTCCCACAAACAGAAGTGCATATTAATTAAGTTCACCTATGGGGTTAATTCCCTCTTATAAGGTTAGAAAAGAGACTTCCCTCGCCTCAAAGCCTACTTTCCGGTCCAAGATTATGCTCAAACCCTCGATTTGGTGCCGAACAATCCAAAGCTAATCAAATAGTATATAAACTAGTCAATACATTCTCAAAAGTTCGTATTCCAACTATTAAAGAGGTTACCCAACCCTGAATGTAAGATTCCTAAAATTCACCCCCGGCCCCACGTGCCTGGATTCCGAAAATATTTGAAGAAAGTTGTTACCCATAATTTCACGAACTCAAATATATAATTTTTACTACATTCCATAACTAATTTCGTGGTCAAATCTCTTTTTTATCCAAAACCTAGGTTTTCATCTAAACCCTTGATTTTATCAAATTTTTATATGTTAATTTACCCATAATCTATGTATTTAACTCATGTTGTGTAGAAATTACTTACCTCAAAATGCTAGGTGAAAACCCACATTTCAAGAGCTCCAAAATCGCCCAAGAGATGAAAGAAAATGAGCTAAATGGCCTAAGTCCCGCATTTAATAAGGCTGTATACAAGTCACAGATGTCGCATTTGCGACACCTGGTTCGCAAATGCGAAGGTCGCAAATGCGAACCTGGGCTCCCACTGCCAAGGTCGCAAATGCGACCAAGGGGTCGCAAATGCGAACACTGCCGAGGTCGCAAATGCGACCAAAGTGTCGCAAATTCTAACACTGCCCAGCTCAGGCTTCTTCGCAATTGTGAAGCCTTCCTCGCAAATGCGAACAAATTCTCGCATTTGCGAGACCTGCAACAGCTTCCAAGAAACACCAGAAAAACTGAAGTTTTTCTCATCCTCCCGAACGCCCGAAACTCACCCGAGTCCTCGGGGCTCCACACTAAACACCCACACAAGTTTAACAACATCATACAAACTCACTCGAGTGATCGAAATACTGAAATAACATCAAAAATCATGAATCGGACGCTAAAACGCATGGATTAACTCATGAACTCAAAAACTTCTAAAAATACTTTCGCACGTTCGATTCCTATCAAATCAACTCGGAATGACGCCAAATTTTGCGTGCAAGTTTTAAATCACCATACGAAACTATTCCCGATCTCGAAATTCCATTTGGACCTCGATATCACCAAAACCTTTTCCAAACCATATTTAAAGAACTTCAAAAGCCTTCAAGGAATCAATTTCACTATTTGGCGCCTAAACGCTCCCGGGTCATCCAAAACCCGATCCGAACATACACTCAAGTCCGAAATCATCATACGAACCTATTGGAACCTTCAAATCCCGATTTCGAGGTCGTTTGCTAAAAATATTGACCGAAGTCAAACTTAGCCATTTTGCCAACCTTTAGGAACCAAATGCTCCAATTTCAATCCGAACCCTTCCAAATCCCAAACTAACTATCCCCGCAAGTCATAAAACAGTAAAAACACATACGAGGAGTCTTATTTAGAGGAATGGGGTTCTAGAAAGCAAATCGACCGATCGGGTCGTTATACCTAAATATAATAACAACAAAAAAAAAACTCGTAAAGCTAATATAAAATAAGTATTCGTGAACTGCTCGGAATTCACACCATAAATCTAAATAGAGTTTGTACAAAGGAATCCAATTAATAACATGATTTTTTTAGATCAAAGTCCTAAGTTTAGGAAAATAATTAAGTAATTATTCCTAAATATTAGAATATTAATTAAATGACTATTCCTACAATTTAGAAAAATAACTTAAATTACTATCTTGTCCAACGTGAAAGCTAGTTTTAAAGGGTAAAAAAGACGAATGACATTTTGCTAAAGGCTTTCGTGCTTTTAATATAGTACTAGACTCTATACTCGTGCGTTGCACGAATATTTTACGTCAAGTATCACATAATTTGTGCAAAAGATAGTTAAGCATTAGTAACACTTGTTAGAGTAATAAAGTGGATATTAACTAATGTATATAATAAATTAGCATTTTTAGTAAACTAATATTTGAATTCAAAATGTAAATGGTCACTGCTTGTCCCTCCAAAAATAAGTTACATGCAACCTGTAATTATTTGAAATTTTTTATCCTGTTTGTTCTTAATTTTTAAAAAGTGTGATACAACTAGTTTGTCTTCCCTCATATACTTTTTTGTTAATTAATTTTGGAGAAATTATTTTTTTTCTTAAAAGAGTTCCTTAATCCGGGCACCGTCGTATACGGTATATCTGATTATTCCGGCACCTTTGAGCTTTATCACCATCGTCCGTGCATTCACAATTTTAGGAACTATGTTTTGCCACTCCCATATATCCATTTTAAAGTTTTCTGGCAATGTCTTCTCTCCTTTCAAAAAATTAAATTTCCACTCTAATTCGTTCTGTTCATTCTTCCATAAGAGTTCAAACAAAAAGAAATTCCCGACTTATTGCATTCACCATAGGACCAATTATTACTTTGAAGTGGTCTTGCACTATTTCTTATGCCCGTTGCTTTTAGACCTTATTTCTTAAAGCTCCCGATTTTGCATTAGAAATTTGGTAAAATAACCTATTTACCCTCAAGAGCCATAAAAAAAAAGTCATATAGAAGCTTTCGTAAGTATACATAAAGTTCAGCATAATCAAAGAAGAATTTAATGGATACATAATAAGAAACAACTGCACAATATATTAATATCTACTGATCATCAAATTTTTATATCCTTTTTACACGAACTGTTTAGTTCTATGATTATGTAGGAGAAATTGATTTGTCCGATGAGCTCAAACATAGTTGACGATATGAAATTTTCAAAGCTTGAATGCTATTGAAATAGATACGTAGAATAATGTTTGAGAGAGAACTCATACAACGAAGAAAAATTAAATCTAGCCATAGGAACGATTTATTTAAAGTAACATATATAGGTTGTACAAAGTCGCCTTATTCTTGTGAAATATGTTTATCAAAGTGCTTGTTTCCATGTACGAGACGTAAGTCGGATACATAACATGAATCTTTAAGTTAGAGTCCTTTACAAATTTGACATATGATTGTTGCTTTAACAGAGTTTGAGTTGATTTAGAGTCCTAATTATTAGATGAAGTGCTTAAGATTACTATTTTATCCTGTATGGAATTATTCTTTTGAAGATAAAATTTAATTTTGGAAGGATATAAAAGTTCATCAATATTTGAGAAATTTTTTCGTCATTCAACACTTAACGTAAATTATTTGTGCTTTAATAATAATATAGATAGATAGATAGATATAGATTAAATGTTGATATTTTCCAAACAAAAAGAGAAAATGGAAGGAGAAAATGAAGAAGCAAGAAAAACAACAATAATTAAAGTGGAAAAAACCTCATATGATAAACTGAGGGTCATTTGGTATGAGGTATAAAGAAGGTATAGTGCTGGTATAAAAATTTAATACCAACTTTATACTTTGTTTGCTTAGCAAACTTGGTATAAGTTATTCCGGGATTAAAATTAATACCGGAATAATTTATACCTTATAGATGGTGGGGTAATTAGTGTCGGGATAACTTATACCTTCTTCTTATAAATTATGCAATTGTCATTTTTAATACAACATATCAAACAGTGGATAAAAAATAATACCAGAATAACTAATCTCAACATAACTTATCCCAACATAACGTATCCCGGCATAAGCCGTATTCAAACCAAACGACCCCTTAAAGTGTCGTCCCGTCGAAGGGTTGAAGCTTATGAAATTTAATTATTTACGAATTAATAATTGACAGTTAAATAGCCCCAAATTGGCATGTTAAAAAGATGATTCAATTTGATGAAAGTCACTTGGTTGACCACTTTTTAAGTCGGCTATTAGAGTTTAGCCATATTTTAAATTGAATTGGTAAAGTAGTCATTAAGCCAGTTAAATTAACGATTTCATCCCCAACTAAAGTACGGAACACAACCCCATCGATCGTCATTGGAGTTCGAAACTTTGTGGAATCCCTAGTAAAATAAGCTAGAATTCATAGATTTGTTGAATTTTCAAATCCATGGACAATTCCTAATTTTTGAATATTTACTGGTGCAAAATTTAGGAGCGATTCCTGATTTTTGAATTCATATTATATTTCAGCAAATTTAAATCTTTGCTAGTGCAAAATTTAAAATCCAAGATAAATTACTGGTTTTTAAACTTTTACTAGTGCAAAATCCATGAACGATTTATGATATTTTTGATTTCATAATATAATTTAGTAATTTTTAATCTTTAAATATAAAATTAAGGATATATTACTGATTTTTAAATCTTTATTAGTATAAAATCTAGGAAAATCAAGGAATGATTCATGGTTTTTGAATCTTCAGTTCATTCAAACTTCGAGAACAATTCCTGAATTTTGTACTTATAAATATTCAAAATCTAGTAGTCGTTCTTGGAGTTCTTCCGTGTTTTAGATATGGTTATTTTTGTTCAAATTCGTAGTTTTACATTACTGAGTGGCTACTTTGCCAAAACTAATTTAAAATATGGCTAAATTGTAATAGCCGGCGCAAAAATGATTCTCACGTCAATTCGAGTTGCAACCCAAATTGATCCGGTAAGAAAACATAACTGACCCAACCCGTTAAGATCCGGTTGAGGTGGACGGGTTATACAAATATGGGTCAGATTTGACACCACCGCAGGCGTAAATGGAAACAACAATAGAAATCCTAGGAATTCCAATAAAAATCAATAGAGAAGAGGAGCTTCACAAAAGGCGAATCTTTTGAATCAATCAAAGCAAGAGAGAAGAGAAGCTCCAAAGATGAGACGGAAGTCAAATCGCCAAGACAAGAAGAAAATATCAGTAACTTCCGATCGCCATGGAGAAGCAAATAGAGAAGAAGCGACACAAAGGGCAAGTCTTTTCGAGCAAAGCAATAGAGAAGCGACGCAAAAGGCAAATCTTTTCAATCAAATTAGCATTAGAGACGCGACACAAAAGCTTTGTCTTTTCAGATGCCAACAGAAGAAGAAGAAGAAATCAGTACCTCCCAATCAAATTCGCAAAGGTATTTGCTAGTTTCTTTCTGCTGTTTCTCTCTGTATTTTCTGCTTTTTTCGATAGTATGTGTGTGGATGTGGGTTTATTTTGCATCTCGACTAAGTCTATCCTAACTTTGCCCGCCAAGGTTTATGGGATGTGAAAGGAACTAATTTGTTTTTTGGTTTCCCACTCGTTTCCAACATATACCTGCATTGAGCCCTGGACTAATCAGGATTCTCACCGGGGAAAGAAGTAATTTCCCCCCATCCATTGCACCCTTGGTGCTATTCTGCTTGTGTTTTATCGTCTATATGGGATCTAACAACAATTTGTAATTGCAGGGAAGAGAGTTGTGAATCAGTCGAAGTATACAAAGCTGATGGATATTGACGATCAGGTGAGTTCTTTCATCCCATGCCATCTGATCAGGCTGTTGGAATTTAGGTGTGTTTACTATGGCTAAAAAGTCCCCTTTTTCGCGTAAAATATATGTGTTTAATTAACTTATGTTGTTAAAGTGTTTTAGACCCAGTGGGAAAATTTGGATGAACATGGTCTGCGGTGTTTGGTGATAAATACAATGGTAAATAAGAGGAGTAGGAAAGAATGGAAAGTGAATTAGAGCCCGTGTTGCTTAGCTGAATTTAAGCAGTTTTGAAGCACCAAATGCTGAAAACACTTTTTAAGTGTTGGAGCTGAAAATAAGTTGTTGGTGTGTTTGGTAAAAAGTGCTTACTTTTGCTGTTAAAATGATTGAAATATCTTAACAATGTAAAGGAGCTAATTATTACAAGTTTTTAATTCTAAACTGATAAAAATAAAATTAATTTGTTTGTCAATCCACTTTTAGTTCTAAATTGATTTAATAAGGTAATTTTAATAACTATAAATTATTTATTTGAATAAGATATAAAAATTGACGTTACATCTAATACATTGATTTATGTACCAGTCTACTTTTGCTATCCAGTGGCATGGAAAAAGAAAAAGGAATCTGGTCTTGGTATAGAGATGCATAATCTGGGGAGTGGTAATGGGGTTGGAGCTAACAACATTACAAAAAATTATGATCAACGGACTTTTAGCTTCTAATTAATGTGCATAAAAGAAGAAAACTGGGGATGATTATTAAGAAATAGGTGAGAAAAAGAAAGCCATAAAAAAGAAAAAGAACAGAAAAAAATTCCAAAGCTTGTGAATGTGGTACACAAAATAAGAAAGAGAAAAATATAACATACACCTAATGAGCTAAGGCAAAGATGAACATGATGGCAGTTGGCAGAGATGGAAAAGAAATGAGTAGAGTTAGGGGCTTAGGGCTGTTTGTTGTAAAGGTATTATGGAAATTATAAATGTAAGGGGTAATAAAGTAAATTAATCTGTCAAACTCAAATAGCTTTTAAGTTGAAAAAAATATGATGGGGTTACCCAACTTAAGGCTTTTGTCTTGTTTTGGCTTAAAAGCTGCTTTTTTAAACTTGCCAAAAAAGTGTTTTTAAGCCAGTTTGACCAGCTCTTAGGTCCATCCAAACACCCGCTTAGGCCCATTGAGGACTATAGTTGTTTCTCCCCTCTGTTGTGTAAAATATTTTCCAAGGTTATGATTAACATTGTCAACCAAATCATTAAAGAAAACATTTTTCAAGAAAAATATTGTGGTTAGCAAACAACGCAACTTCGGTATATTCTTTCTCATACTCATGCTGAAAACTGTTAGAAAAGAGCCTCATTGGTTTTCCTGAGCTGAATTAGTTTGTAGTATGATTTTGTGATTGAATGAGCTATGGCCTGCAAAATGTATGAAGAAGTGAGGGAGTATGCTCTCTGACATTAAGCCACCTTACCATTAAGGCATTAACTTTGCATTAATTTGAGAAATTACCAAGGCAGCTGAAATCTAAAAATCGTGAAACTCCTCAGAAATTTTGTGGGAAATTGAGAAACAGATAGGATCATTGTTTTAGATATCCTGAATTTCCTAGGTCATACTAGTTTTGACAGCACATAGTGTATGATCTTATAAGATTCTAAAGTTTAACTAATTTTCCCTCCACTTCTCCCTTTTGTCCTAGCCTTATAATTTCGAATATCTCTTATGTTGGGGATATAGTGCCTTGAGCTAGGATAGATGATTCTACTTCTTGGTGGAAATTTTAATATATGAAAGTGAATATCCTAGGACATCATGAAATTACCAAAAATTGGAGAAGGGGAATTGAAAAGAAGGGTTTATTTGGTTAAGGCACAGGGTTGAGGTCAGTAAGATTAGCTTCTTTGCGAGGGAAGACACTAATTGATTAACATAGATGACGTTGGTGGAGAATTACGGTGAATGATGATCATCTTGTCAATATTATCTGATTTTTGACTTTATTATTCTTGTGGACTGGTACGCTTCATTCTCATTTTAGGTTAGTCAACTCTTGTTCTTGAAACATGGTTTTTAGTTTGTCTTTTGGTTTAATCAAGTTTAGAGCTGTGGTTGAAGCTTATCTCCTTCACCAAATGTTATTGGATATTTTTTGATAAGGTAAAAGTTTATTAATAAGGTACCAAGATGGTAAAAAATAGTACAAGAGGTAGCCCAGATAACAACATATCTCATACTATCCTCTCCCTCCTAACATTTCCAAAAAGTCAATACACTGATTCTGATTTGCTAAATTACCATAATTACACCAAAGGTACAGATTATGAAGATATTGAGATTGCCAAGCTTCTATAAGACCCCTTACTGTTTGAGGCATCACCCAAGAAATGCCACAAATGCCGAAAAATAGATTCCAGCATTGCCTATATACTTTGCAACGGAGGAGAAGATGAGTTAATGATTCCTGTTCTTCTTCAAACAAGTAACATCTATTACACAACCGGAAACCTCTTTTCTGCAAGTTATCCCGAATCAAACAAGCCTCCCAAATAGCTATCCATCCAATGCATGCTACCTTAACTGGAGCTTTGGTTTTCAAAATCATCTTCCAAGGCCTATTAGCATCTCTGTGATTTGACTTCTTTATGATCATGCTATAACAACTTTTCACTGAATAAGTTTTATTCCAGCTGATAATCCAGGACAGAGTATCCACCTTCCTCTGATCAATTGAAACAGATTCAATTTGTTGGAGTAGGTGACACAAATCCTCAAGTTCTCGGTCATCCAAATTTCTTCGAATAATAATTTTCCATCCTGTACCTGAGTGGAAATCAGCAATGGATCCAGCCTTATTGACAGAATAGTTGAACAAATTAGGGAACTTCATTTTCAGGCATACATCCCCTATCCATTGGTCTGTCCAAAATTTAATTTTCTGACCATTCTCAACTCACAACTTAATATATTCTAATAACTCTCCCCATAATCTACTTATGTATTTCCACATACCCCCTCTTGCATTTAAGTGTAAGGAGAGAGGTCTCCACCCTTCCTTATTACCATAAATAGCATTGATCAGGCTCTTCCAAACTTCATTAACTTCCAGCATGTAGCTCCATAGCCACTTGAAAAGTAGGCTTTTATCGTGCATTTTCAAATTCCTTGAAAAGTAAGACATGATTAACACAATATATCATTTTAGAACTTGCAATGTTTTACTAATTTTTTAATTATAACGCAAGCACATCTTTTGAATAATATTTATTGTTATTTTTAAAAATAAGGGATACGTGCAACAATGTATCCTTATATTCAAAACAAGAGCTAAGACTAGTTACAGTTAAAAGACAAAAATGGTCAAAAACTTGACTTCTCAATGTTCAAAACAGAGCTAAAAGTTAGTTTTTTTTCAAACTACTATTACTAAAATTTTCAAAGTCGCTGGTCGTCAATGTCATCTGCTGGTGCTTCTCCCCGTTTCTTTCTTTTTCAAAAGGCTTCTCTGGTGTTTCTTCTACAATCTCTTTTGGTATGACTGCTGACTTGGTGCTGCTTAATGGTCCAGTCACTGGAGTTCACTGGAACTTTAGAGCACATCCGTCTCTTGCTCTGTTGCTCACTTGTTGCCACTACCAAGTACCAAGTAATTTATTCCACTAGAAATCTTCAATTGTTCTATTTGTTAGCAAATAGTAGAGGGAAGGAATCAAGAAATTTTCGGGTCCATCTTTTCTTAACTCCTGAAATAATTTTCTAGTTCTTAATTGAATGAACGAATGAGTTTCTAAAGAAAGTTGAACGATCACTAAAGGAATAAAATAAATTAAAAAAGGAAGTATTTATTTGTCTTTTTTTAGAGAACAACAAACTTAGTCATGCATTGAATGCCAAACTCCTACTTTGGTTTCTTTTAGGATGTGGATTAAAGAAGTAATCACCGTAGGAATCAAATGTTATTTCTACTAGGGCAAGAGATTCTTTTTGTCCTTGGACTATGTTATAAATAATAGTATACTTTCTAATAAAACACAATCACTAGATCAATGCAAAACTCTAATGTGAAAATCCATAGGTATTCTTTCTTTGAAACAACAAAAGTAGCAGTCGTTGGCCTTGGCTGGTCTTCTCTACCAAATCAAGGTAAGCCGTACATGCCATACTTGAAGATTTGTTCTCCAACTGTTGTAGTTTCTTTTTAATATTTGATCTTGAATTTTGTATATATATATTTTATATATATATAAAATATGTTAGTATGTGCGCCTGAGAATTTAACGTCTTCAACTTGTGAACTACTAAAGCTCTTTCGTTGTCTTATCTAGGACATGGAAATTCACTTCCAAGAGGAAATCATTATGGACATTCTTAGCAAGTTACCTGTGCAGTCTCTTCTTCGATTCAAATGTGTTTCACGATTTTGGAAGAAATTAATTTCTGAGCCTTACTTTATGATGAAGCATCTCAATCATGCCAAGAATAACCAAAATTCTCAAAAATTTCTTGTTTGCCAACTATGCCCTAAGGATGGTATGATTTCCTTTTACTGTTCTTCTTTATCGTCAGTTCAACCGGTCGAGGACGTCCAAAGACTTGATTGTCCTTCAGACTTTAAACCATGGCGATGCGGAATCTTTTGTTGTTTCGATGGCTTGTCTCTTATTGGGGTTCATGATTATCCTGACATAGATCTCATATGTTTGCTATGGAACCCCTCCACAAGAGAATCAATAGTACTTCCCATGCAGAATGTCCAGTGAAGGGAAATCATGCTTACGGAATGGGATATGACTCAACTAGTGATGATTATAAGATCCTTAAGATTGACGTTGACATTGATGATGGTCGCAAAGTATCTAGTGAAATTCTCGCGCTGAAAAATGTCTCCCGGAGAAAAATTGATAGACATCCTAGCGACATTTGCTATGTGTTGTCTGGTGGGAACTCTTTGGCATTTGTACATGGAGCATTTCATTGGCTGGGTTTTTCACAAAATTATTCAATGGTTTCATTTAGTATTTCAAATGAGGTGTACAAAGAGATACAATTGCCGGAGCAAATTTGTTTGGGATCGATGTACAACAAGTTTGACGTTTCAGTATTGGAAGGAATGCTTTGTGTTTATTCTACTTCTATTCGGAAGCAGAGCACCTTTTCGTTTTGGCTAATGAAAGACTATGGTGTCAAAGAATCTTGGACTAAATTATTTACTATACGAGATACCGAGATTTATTTAGCCATACCAAAATATAGGTTTGCCGATGGTGAAGTGTTGCTTCGCTGCATACACGCTGAGAGTTGTGGTCCTTTATTTAGGACATCCAAAGGACCATTTGGATTGTGGCCTCAAGGTGATATCTTTCAGGATGGATTCGTTTTTACGGAAAGCTTGATCTCTCCAAAATTACTTACCTAGTATTTGCTTGTCTGTTTGGGGAGTATTTGCTTATTTATGATCGGGACACTTTTCTCCTTTTTCAGAAATCATGTTACATCTTGTTATTCTTATAAGTTTATGTATTGCTAGCTAAGTTTTGGTACCAAAATGTAGGGTGTCAATGGTTATCTGAAAACGGATCAAACCGTTCGACCTGATTGTTAGGTTTTTCCAATGAAATTGTAGGTTTTAATATAAATTCATAATTGTACCAAACTATTAGGGTAAGTTTTTTTTTTTTTTGGGAAAAAGAATACTTGAAAGAAAAATCGAGCTGAATCGAATAAACATATATGTATTAAAAAATAATGAAGCGTTACATTTTTTTTTTACCTTTACAGTTTTTCTTATAAAAAGATTTACATTGGGCTTTTGATGGATTGAGATGGAAACGACGACAGGTAACGTTCAAGTCTACTTTGCCACAACAACAACCCAATATAATTCTACTAGTGGGGTCTGGGGAGGGTAGTGTGTACGCAGATCTTACACCCCTACCCTGGGGTAGAGGGACTGTAATCCCACTAGTGGGGTCCGGGGAGGATAGTATGTATGCAGACCTTACACCCCTACCCTGGGATAGAGAGGCTGTTATTCCACTAGTGGGGTTTGGGGAGGGTAGTATGTACGCAGACCTTACACCCGTACCATGGGGTAGAGAGGCTGTAATCCTACTAGTGGGGTCCGGGGAGGATAGTGTGTACGCAGACCTTACACCCTTACCCTGGGGTAGAGAGGTTGTAATCCCACTAGTGGGGTCTGGGGAGGGTAATGTGTACGCAGACCTTACACCCGTACCCTGGGGTAGAGATGTTGCTTCCGATAGACCCTCGGTTCCCTCCTTCCAAGAACTCCCCACCTTGTTTTTGGGGTGACTCGAACTCATAATCTTTTGGTTGGAAGTGGGTACTCACCACTATAACAACCCACTCTACTTTGCTACAGCTGAAACAAAATTGGTTCTATGTTCAATAGCAAGTCACAAAGGTAGGTTTTCTCCTTTCTTTTTTAGGTTCCCTTCTATATCTTTGTGGTAAAATATCAAGTCTATCTTTTGCAAAATTTTAGTGACGCTACACGTTATTTTTTTTGGACTTTTATCTCATTAACAATAAATTTTTGGTTTGTGAGTCAATCATCGTTCTAAGAAAGAACAATATTTATTAAATTAAAATCTTACTTGAGCATTGCATTTATACAAGTTCTTGTAGTTAAAATTATTCTATAAAAACATACAATACCTTTAGTCTATAATTTATGGGTTCGTTTGACATTTGGTACGGGTATAAGGGATAATTAATCCCGTGATTAAATTTGATATGAGTTTATCCCATGTTTGGTTTTGATAAAATTGTGGTATAACTAATCCCGGGATTAGTTATCCCGAGATTGTAGTATTTTTTTATCCCCATGAGAGGATGAGATAATTAATTCCGGAATAATTAATCATGAAATAACTTGTTTTCCGACCAAACGACCCCTATGCGTTATATTAAGTCATAATTTTACATATCAAATGAGACATTCTAACAACAATGTGACTCTTATGTGATGTTTTAAAAATAAAAGTACCGAATATTAATCCGATCTCACCGATATCGGAAAAAAATTGAGATGGTTGAAAAGCTTTTGAAAAGTCTAGTATAAATTTGTATGGTATAAATTTTTTAAAATAACTTGACGAACGGAACCATTGACACTCCTATCACTCTACCGCAATGTATTTACCAGATGTGTCAATCTGCTTATTTCATGTTCTCAGATAAGCGACCGGAGTTTCTTATTGCTAAGAAAGCCCCTCTTTTTTTACCTATTATTGCTCGTCTAGTTGTTGTATATGTATACTGATTGCTACGATCAATGCAATTTACAAATTATATACTAAAGCTTGTTTTTCCGAATTTTGCACATGCCATACATCTGATATTTCTTAATTGCCTAAGGATATATATATTGATCAATGTAGAAAATGATTCTGTTTGATCATCTGAAAATTACGGTGAAAGGCCTTTTGATGTTTTGCAAAAGATATTCCTCAAGTAAGCGTGCTTCTCATGAATGTTCAGGATAATGATATTTATGTTATCGATATAGTGACAAGTAATATTCGCCTGGTGAAGTGCGGCAATAGCCATTTTTAAGCTCGCTATTTAAAATATATCAACAATTTATAATATATTTAAAGATTAGCCAATTTACCCCAATTTTAGGACTAAGTATCCTTAATTTGGAAATTCAGGACTTAGCTAGCGTTTGAACATAGATTTGGTTGAAACATGAAAAAATGAGATGAAAAATAATTTTTGAAAGTTAAAATTTTGTTTGGACATGCATTTTGCTTGAAAAGAACAAAACTTCAAACACTTCAAAAACTACTCTAAAGTTGTTTTTGGGATTTCAAGATTTTATTTTCAAAATCTGCCAAAAAATGATTAAAATCTATTAACGAACAAATATTTGAAAACACAATTTGAAAAAAAATTCCCAAATTTTATGGCCAAACGGGTGCGTAGTGTCCTAAATTTTTGAGCTGCTAATTTGTGTTCTGAATTTCTGAACTACTCATTTAAAATTCGGGATATAAGATTCGAATTTCTTGACATAATTTTCGAACTTTAGGACACGATGTCCTGAAATTTAAATTTTGAGGTTTAAACTCTAAGACATCGTGTTCTGAAGTTTGAGCGAAATTGGCTGATTTTTAAATACATTGTAAACGTAAATATATTTTAAACAATATGCTTAAAAGTGGTTACCTGATGTCATTTCCGCAAATATATATAGGGTAATTGTCACGTTTAATACGGTATCATCATCACAATTCACATGGATAAGGAAATCCTTTAATTTTACATTGTCATGATATGTAGAAGATGCAAATGCAACTGGTAATAGTTAGAAGCCCAGAATATATCATTAATATCCAGAGTCCAGATATTATGCTGTATGCTATAAAATAAAGACTGTTAAGTAAAGACAAGTATAGAGAGAAACTGATATATTATTCAAATTTCAAACTTATGTACATAATGAATTGAAAACTCCTCTATTTATAGAAGAAAAGAAGCAGTTGCGAGACTTTTCAGGAAGCAACTGCAAGGCTTTTCTTTAGCTACTTGTAAGCTGTCTACATGAGCTGCTTGCAACCTGTCTGTTTAATAAGAAGCTGCTGCAAATCATTTCATTGAGCTGCATGCATCAGCTGCTTGTAGATAAACTTCAACAGAGTACTAAATGGATAATCTTCTTCAGGAAGATTATCTATAGCGGATTAATAAATGGACATCCCAATATAATTATTTTCATAACACTCCCCCTTGGATGTTCATTAAAAGGTATTGTGCCTCGTTAAAACCTTACTAGAAAAAACCCAGTGAAAAAAATCCTAGTGAAGGAAAAAGAGTACACATATTTAGTAATACGCATTTCTAGCTGCCTCATTAAAAACCTTATAAGGAAAACCCTGTGGGAAAAAAACCTTAGTAATAAAAAAGAGTACATCGCGTATTTTATTCCCCTTGATGAAAACCTTGTTTCAAATATTTGAGTCTCCGCATTTCAATCTTGTATACCATTTTCTCAAAAGTTGAAGTTGGCAAAGATTTAGTGAATAAATCTACCGGATTGTCACTTGAACGGATTTGTTGCACATCAATATCACCATTTTTCTGAAAATCGTGTGTGTAGAATAATTTTGGTGAAATGTGCTTCGTTCTATCTCCTTTTATAAATCCTCCCTTCAATTGGGTTATGCATGCAGCATTGTCTTCGTATAAAATTGTGAGTCTTTTCTCACATTCCAAACCATATTTTTCTCGAATAAAATAAATTATTGATCTCAACCATATGCATTCCCTACTTGCTTCATGAATAGCTATTATCTCAACATGATTTGAAGAAGTAGCAACAATAGATTGCTTTGTGGAGCGTCATGATATGATAGTACCTCCATATGTAAACACGTACCCGATTTGAGATCTATCTTTATGGGGATCAGATAAATAATCTGCATCTGCATAACCAACAAGACCTGCACTATTTTTGTTAGCATAAAACAAACACATATCAAGAGTTTCCTTTAAATATCGCAATATATGTTTAATCTCGTTCCAATGTCTCCGTATAGGAGAAGAACTATATCTTGGTAGTAAATTAACAGAAAATACTATGTCAGGCCTTGTAGCATTAGCAAGATACATTAGTGCACCAATTGCACTGAGATAGGGTACTTCGGGACCAAGGAGTTCCCCATCCTCTTCTGGAGGTCGGAACAAATCTTTATTCACTTCAAGTGATCGAACAACCATTGGTGTACTCAATGGGTGCGCTTTGTCCATGTAAAAGC